TTTACAGGAATTTCAATACACGATGGAGCATATTCCTGGTTTAAAAAAACCCAGCAGACTACTTGTCAAGAGTTTCAGAGGATGTAGTGGTAAACAATGTAAATATATTTAAGACCAATGATAATTTGTCTATTCAAAACATAATTAGTAAACAGCAAAGTGATCCAGACATAAAATCAATTATAAAAAAATTACAGGATAACCACAAAGAAAGTGTAGAACAATATTTCATTGATAGTCATACAGATGTAGTAATGATAAAATTAAAACCTGTAATTGTGAGAAAGAAAGAGAGAAGTATCCAGAATAAAATTCTAATTCCTAAGGCATTAATTAAAGATGTATTACAGACAGTTCATGCGCCTCACTTTGGTATTCAAAAGACATATGAGTTTGTAAAGGCAAAGTATTATTGGAAAGGTATGTACAGCGATACGAAAAGTTTTGTAGAAAATTGTTCAGATTGCTTACAAAATAAGTCTAGACCTCACAACACTCTGCCACGTCTAATTCCTAAGAAAGATCTTGCTCCTGGAGAGATGATAGCTATAGACATAGTTGGTAAACTGCCAAGATCCATAGATAATAAGTTTTTATGTACTCACTATCATTGATCATTATTCCAGATATTTGGAAACAGTTCCGTTAAACAACTGCACTTCTCAATCCATCATAAAATCTTTAAATGATTATTTTGCCAGATTTGGCATTCCAAAAATTTTGTTATCAGACAACGGTTCCTATTTTTGTTCCACAGAATTCACTCAATTTTTAAAATCGCTTAAAATAGAACACAGAAAAAAGTTCAATTTATTATCCACAGTCCAATGGGTTGATTGAAAGAGTTCACAGGGTAATGAAAGAATCAATTGCAAGCAATATCAAACAAAATATTTGAATGGCCACAAAAGTACTGATGTTTAAACTGTATTATAATAATGCTAAACATTCTGTAACTCAATTTTCACCAGCAGAATTATTTTTTGGTAGAACATTAAATACTCCCATAGATAGCAATGATCCTCTTAAATTAGCAGAAGATTTCCAGGAATATTCCAAAAAACTAAAGGAACAATTGAGTAGAGATAAGCAACAAGTAAAATTAAATGAGGATGAATACTTTAATTGTGCAAAAAAATATTTGAAAGGGAGAAAAATTCCAGAATTGAAATCAGGGGATAAAGTTTTTATGCAGGAATTTACTGATAGAAGGGTGTACAATCCAAAATACAAGGGGCCATATGAGATCATTAAAAAGCTACGAAATGATAATTATATAATACAATTAGATAAATAAACCACTAAAGTTCACGTAAGTAAAGTTGTTTTTACAAAAGCCTTCAAGAATAGATTCAACACAAAATGAGGATTAGGAGTGTAACACAATTGTAAATTGTAGATCAGCAAATCAAAAAAAAAAAAAAAAAAAAAAAAAAAAAGTGTAAAGAAGTTGTGATTATGATAAGAATGTAGCAGGTGTACAAGCTAGATAATGAATGATGATCATGTGTGGTATGGGTCAATTTAGTGTAATAAAGCGCTAATTGCACGACTTTTGGTAGAGTTGGCTGGTCCATATACCAGAAGAATTGAATTGTATTATGCAGGGTCTCATTGATTACTAGGTAGCAGATTAAAGCACAGAGTGTGGTGCTAATCTCCTTGTCTTACTGCTGAATCAAATTGAAGGTATGTAATTTAGTAGTGGATCTAATGTAGCTTGTAACAATGTCATGATACATTGGTGCATGAAATGTATATGTGAAATGAATATGATCAAATGGTAAAATTAGCTAAGTAATAAAATAGTGAATGTGATTCTAAAATGTAAAAATGAGATAATGTAAACAAAGGTAAACAATGGTTAAGAGGAGTAACATCAAATTGATAATGCAATATCATTAGTAATTGATAACGTGATTTTATCACATGTGAGTTATAAATTATATATGTCAAAATTTCTTTTATGGAATCACATTTGTGGTGATATTTTAGGTAAGAGTAGACATGCATGAGTACGTAAAATAATAATACTAATTTAAGAATGTAAAAAAAAATGTGTATCACAAAGTGTTTAAAGTGTTGTGTTTTTTTTCCCAAGCAATGTGAAAAATTAATGTGAATTATGTGTGTATAGTGCATACGAGAGCTCAACTGTGTGCATCTAATGTGAAATGTTTATTGCCAACGAAATGATAAAGTGCAGTGCCTTTGCATGTGATATAAAGATTGGTGTGAAATGTGTATGTGATGCTGACGAAAGTTCAAGTGTATCCAACAGAGAGGGATTGCATTTGTCCAGTAATCGGACAAAATTTTTTTTTCTTCGGCCGGAGGGAATGTGAGAACACAGTATTCTCACAGTGAACACGGTGGCTGTATCGATTCTTAAATCGTTATCGCGCCCTGCCACGTGCATAGCAGTGGATAAAAACTGGAAGGACTGGTTTTTTGTTTTTCTCTTTCTGCCTGTCGTCGTGTTAACGAGTGTGTGGGCCTTCGGGCCACACACACACACACACAGCTCTCGCCATCATCCACAGTACTCGATCTGATGTCCATTTTTTCAAGGACGGAGGAGAAAATATGTTCTTGTACGAAGAATATAAGAATTCAGGTAAACTTTACTGATTAGGCTGCGAGGTAAAAATTGTTCCTGTGCTGTGATTCAACGTGTATAATCCTGACAGTTGGATGTTTCGAAGTGACGACCATATGCGCAATTTCAAGCCTATCTGCCAGAAAGTTGATCTCTTCTATCACGAGTAATTGCATTGCATATTAATTAAGCTTCTTGCAAGATGCTGATAAGTAATGTGCCTTTGATGCAGCAAGATTAGGAATTGCAATATACCGTAAAAATGAACGCTGTGATAGTCCCGTAGGACTAACGAGTAGGACACGCCGAGGGGCATTCATGAATGTGTTTTTTTCTTATAACATATCGAATATAGGCTAATCAAGAAAAGTGTATTTTGTGATTTATATAAGCTAATCAAGAAAAGTGTGTTTTTGTGATTTATCTAGGCTTGTGATTTATCAAGAGATGTGTGTTTTTGTGTTTTAATAAATGTATATTTAAAAGAGAGATACTGACTCATGCATGCCTTATTGGGTAAATCATTTTATTCTTATTATTAACATTCATGCAATGTACTAACCACTAAATTTTTAGTTTAACTGTTACGCGGAATTAATTCGCATTTGATACTCTTAGTATAAATTGCTTTTATACGATCACGGCCAGCAACACCACAATGGGAAATATGTTATTTCAGTCCCTACTGATGAAGATTTTGATCTGCTTTACATTTCGATGGTATCCAGTTTTTCTCCCATGCATTCTTTCGAAAGAGCTCTTGATTTCTATCATTCAAGCGTGGCTACTGACTGGTTTATAGAATAGGTTTCGTAAGAAAGTGAAGCGCAAGCTAGAAATTTGGATTTGATTCCAAGCATTTTTGAGATATTTTTGCTTTACTAATGCCAATTCATGTTCATTATTGCTTGCTTGTAATGCTTCAATTTATATTTTGGTGATAAAACACATCCCAAAATATGTACTGATAACAGTTATGTGTTTCTATTGCATTTTAAAAAGTTTTATACATGCTTTATTAATATATTTCCCCTTTTCCTAATTTAAACCTAAACTCAAGTTCAATCACAGATAACATTTCTGTGATCGTAATTTAGAGTAATATATGTTGCGTTGTGTTTGGTATCGTTCCGGGACGGTGCTCGTGAAATGATTCTTATAAATTAAAACTAATAGCACATAAATCATCTTTTTCTACTAAATATCAATCTATTTCAGATTAAGAACTAAGAAAAGTTACATCTTCTTTTATCAATTAAAACATAAAGAGTATCAATATATCCTGTGGCGAGATCATTCGTGTTAATGAAGCGCCATCTGTGAAACTTCTCGCATGCACTTTCATGCACTTTTCTTTTCGCCAGAATGGCAACATGAAGCAAGAGAGAAGAAAAAGAACGATGACTGATTTTTTGTCTGTGTGATTCTATATCTAAAAAATGCAAATATATATTAATCTTATTGGAGTAAGAGCAATGTTTAACATTTTCTATGTTCAAGACATCCACACTTGTTTACCCGGATGCGATTGACTTCAACTTATAGTGTCTGATAAAAAAAGAACGTACGATATTTCTGTAATTTTACGAGATGTTACTGACATTATAAGCACTTTATAAATAGTCACCTGTTACCGAATAAATGTTACGAACAGCGTCGTAAAAAGCTACTTACCCATTTTTAAAGTTCCGCAATTTTTTCCTTAGTTTGACAGTGGATGCTTCTGGTGCGCATGGATTACATCAAGAATTGATGAATCGATTGTTTTAGTGCGTATGTGAAATGTAAATTCCGAGCGTACGTGGAACTGAAATACTTATAAAATGGTAAGTCAACTTTAAAAATTGAAATTTTGTTCTATATTGCAATATAACTTCAGCGGTATTGAATGCAGTTAGAATTTTCAGAATGCATCAAATGTGTTAAGAATAAATGAACTAGTTTTTACTAAGCAAACTTTAGCCGGAAAAGCTATAAAAATATAAAATTAAATAAAGGTAGCTATATTTCCGTTAAGCCTAATTCTGCTATGGCTGAAGGAGATGAAAGTAAACAAGCCGAAACGAATGCGACATCTGCGACTGTCGCCAAGGTGAGCATCAAAATTCCTCCTCTTTGGAAACCTGACCCCAAAATATGGTTTCTTCAGATTGAAGCCCAATTCCGAAACGCTGGAATTACGGCTGATCAAACAAAATACGATTATGTAGTCAGTTCTATTGAAACAGGGACATTGTCTCATATCTTTGATATTCTCACCTAACCACCAGACAACTCCAAATATCGGGCCATTAAAAAAAGGCTGATTGAAATTTTTACCGACTCTGAAACACAGAAAACCCGAAAACTTCTGACCGAATTAGAACTGGGTGATAAGAAACCATCCCAACTTCTCTGCGAAATGCGTAACTTGGCGGCTGGGAAGGTGCCAGATGAATTTTTAAAAAATTTGTGGATGCAACGACTACCACTTGATATACGGAGCATTTTATCTGTAAGCAGTGATGATTTGTCCAAATTGTCTACAATGGCTCACAAAATATGGGAATTAAATCCCAATTCATCCAGGTAGCTCGCATTGTTTCTTCCCCATCTGATAACATTACCCCCGAAGATTTACAGAAGCAGATATCAAACTTGACACTGCAGATAGCAGAAATGAATACGCATAGAAATTCCAGTCCACAAGACGACGATACAGGTCGAATTCTAGAAATAGTTTCAAAAATAACAATGACCCAAATAGTTGTTATTTTCATCAATGCTTTGGTGAGAAAGCGTGCAAGTGCACCCCACCATGTAAATACCAGGTCTCGAAACAGGAAAACGATTCCCCGGCCTTCGATGACGATAGATAGTCAAGGGGTACAGCTGAGTCGTCTATATATTCGTGACAACGCATCAGCAACCCATTTTTTAATTGACACTGGAGCAGAAATATCGGTTGGTTATCCCACCATCACCATCGGAAAAGAGAACTGCGGCTAAGCTTGAGTTATTCGCAGCTAACGGTACAACAATCAAAACATACGGTCAAAAATTATTGGAGCTCGATTTAGGGCTACGCAGATCTTTCAAATGGCCTTTTATCATTGCGGACGTTAATAAACCTATTGTGGGAATAGACTTTCTTTCACATTTTAATTTGTTAGTCGATAGTAAAAACAGGAAATTAATTGATGGCACCACCTCATTAACGACTAAAGGTACTTTGTGTAACAATAGGTCCTCCTAATTCATTGCTAATACTTTCAAAACCCATATAGAGCCATCCTAAACAAATTTCCTGACTTCCTTAAACCCAACATAAAAAACAGTAAAATTAAAGAACATGATGTGCAACATTACATCGAAACCAAAGGTAACCCTGTATCCTTTAAAGTCAGAAGACTTTCACAAGAAAAGTTGATTGCCGCGAAAAAGGAATTTGATTATATGTTGCAAGAAGGTCTCTGCAGGGTGTCCGCCGATAACATCGCGGCAAAAACATCGCGGACGAAAAGATCGCGGAGAAAGCAACGCAAGGCGAAAACGTCGTGCTACAAAACATCGTGGGAGAAAACATCGCAAAGAGAAAACATGGCAGTTCTAAACATCGTGGTACAAAACATCGTCGTCGAAATAAGCGGTTCAAAGACTTCGCAGTTTGAAAACTCGTCGTTGAAAATATCGTGGTAAAAAAAAGTATCTACAAATCATCGCATGACGATAACATCGCAGACATGCTTTTTTTTTTCAGGTTTTAATAATTGTAAATGGATATTCCCATAATGATTTGTGAGCGCAAGTTATAAAGAAGGATAATTTTTACTTTCACATTTTTTATTAACTAATGAATTTTTTGCTGAAAAAGTAAGAAGGAAACTTAAGCATAAAAAAATTAAATGCGTTTTATAGATTTTACTTTTAATGAAAAATTACCAGTAAAAACTTCATAAAAATGATTTATTAATGGCCTTTAACTGAAATTATTAATTGTTAGTTAACTATGCCGGTTTAAAATTCTATTAAGTGCTATAAGTTTCATTAATTTTCTATGCTTAAGTTTCCTTTCTATTTTCTCAGCAAAAATTTATTAATTAATAAAGAATATGAAAGTAAAAGTTATCCTTCTTTCCATCTCGCGCTCACAAGTTATTATGGGAATATCCATTTACAGTTATTAAAGCATGTCTGAAAATGCATGTCTGCGATGTTATCGTCATGCGATGATTTGTAGATACTTTATTTTTTACCACGATATTTTCAACGACGATGTTTTTAAACTGCGAAGTTTTTGAACCGCTTTAATTTCGACGACGATGTTTTGTACACGATGTTTTTAGAACTGCGATGTTTTCTCTCCGATGTTTTCTCCCACGATGTTTTATAGCACGACATTTTCGCCTTGCGTTGTTTTCTCCGCGACGTTTTCGTCTGCGATGTTTTTGCCGCGATGTTTTCGGCTGTAACCCTCTGCAGACCATCGAAAAGCAGCTGGTCAAGTCCATTACACCTCACTTTAAAAATCCGGTGACTGGAGACCATGTGGCGATTACCGTGCCCTTAATGCAAATACTGTACCAGACCGTTACCCACTACCATTTCTACATGACTGTACTCACATTCTGCACGGAAAAAGGATTTTTTCAACCATAGATTTAATAAGAGCATACCAACAGATTCCAGTTCATGAAGCTGATATTCCGAAGACAGCAATCATAACACCTTTCGGACTTCTTGAATTTCCTTACATGACATTTGGCTTACGAAAGGCTGCACAAACCTTCCAAAGGTTTATGAACACAGTGCTTAGCGGCCTAGACTTTGTATTTTGCTATCTCGACGACATTCTCATCGCCTCTCCAGATGCTGAAACACACAAAAGACATCTTGAATTAATCTTCCAGTTACTATGGACTGTGCATAAACATTGTAAAATGCAAATTTGTTGAATTTTTAGGATATGAAATATCAAAGGAAGGAATCAAGCCACTTCCATCCAAAGTCGATACAATTAAAGAATATCTAAAGCAGAATCCTTCACAAGCTTGCGCAGATTTTTGGGCATGGTGAACTTTTACCATCGTTTCATTCCAAATTGCGCCAAACTACAACAACCTCTGACAATCTTGCTTAAAGGAAAAAGGAAAAACAGCAAAAAACCTCTAATTTTGGACCGCAAGATGCGCAGAACGGCTTTCACTTGATATCAAAAGCGCACTGTGCAACTCTGTAATGTTAGTTCACCTCGAATCAAACGGCGCAGATCACCCTAACTACAGATGCATCTTGATTCTGCCGTGGGTGCTGTGATTCATCAACTATCCAATAATGATGAAAACAACCGCTAAGTTCTTTCTATCCCGATCTCTGTATCACCAACACAGAGAAATTACAGTGCATACGAGCGAGAACTTACTTGCAATCTACCTAGCGGTGAAGCATTTTAAAACACATTCTGGAAAGACGATCATTTACTATCTTCGCTGATCATAAACTATAACTTTCACATTCCACCAGAATTTAGATAAAGCCTCTCCGAGACAAGTACGACAGATTGAACTACATTGCTGAATTCACTGCAGACACTACGCTACATTTCTGGAGAAGAAAACATTGTAACTTGACACGCTTATCGAGAATTGACATTATCGCTATCACAAGCTCCAATTGATTATACAGTTATAGCAGATTGCCAGGAGGATTAAGACCTCAGGATTCTCAAATCAAATTCCAGTTTCAAAATAGTAAAAATTCCTGATTCCGAATAGCAATAACAATAATTACTTGTGATACCTCCACTAATTTTAACAGGCCAATACATTCCTAAAGAACTTCGCGAAGCAAGTATTTTTCTCTCTACATAACTTATCCCATCTTGGAACTTCGTGCAACAACGAAGCTGGTGACAAAAAAATTCATTTGGCCTGGCATAAACAAAGACTGTCAGCAGTGATCTAGAGCATGTTTGCAATGCCAACGAGCCAAAATTTACAAACATACCCATGCTCCAGCTGCTGAATTCTAAGTTCCCAATCAACGTTTCAAGCACCTTAATATCGATATCGTTGGCCCTTTACCATCTTGCAAAGGTTTTAGGTACCTGCTTACCATCATCGATAGATTCACTCGGTGGATCGAAGCTGTACCTTTGGAAGACCAAACTGTAGAGTCCGTCGCAAATGTCCCCATCGCGACTTAGATTTCGAGATTTGGAATCCCAGAGAAGATAACATCTGACCAAGGTCGACAATTTGACAGCCAACTCTTCATATCCTTGAGCAAATACCTAGGCTTCAAGGCTAACAGCACCACGGCTTATCATTCACAATCTAATGGTTTAATAGAACGGCAACATCGAACCTTGAAAAACAGCCTAAAATCCCACCCTGCAAAAAATTTTTCAGTTATGTCCCCACTGTTACGCATTCAGATTTTATACAAAAATTGCAGAGTCACATCCAAAACCTAAAACCAACACCAACAACCAGCCATGACAAAGAACAATTTTCGTGCACGAGGACTTAGCAAATTGTTCACACGCATTCATCTATAATAACATAATTTCATCTTCTCTTCAACCACCCTATCTCGGACCATATTTAGTTAAAAAACGTTTTGAGAAATTTTTCAATGTGGAAGTTTCAGGTAAAATTAAAAGGATATCGATAGATAGACTGAAACCAGGTTTCAGCCTCAAGAATGAAACAACAACAAATCTCCCGACACATGAAGCTGTTAACTCCAAAATCTCACCTCCACTTCCTGGAGACAATGATTCTTCCCAAGATATTCATCCTATAAACACAAAAAGCTGGACGAAGGGTGAGATTTCCTGCATACCTGAAAGATTACAAAGTATAACGCTATCACTGGGAAGGGGGTGTGTGGCGACATCATTCTTGTTAATGAAGCGCCATCTGTGAAACTTCTCATGCAATTTTCTTTTTGCCAGAATGGCAACATGAAGCAAGATAGAAGAAAAAGAACGATGACTGATTTTTTGTCTGTGTGATTCTATATCTAAAAAATGTAAATAAATATTAATCTTATTGGAGTAAGAGCAATGTTTAACATTTCCTATGTTCAAGACATCCACATATCCCTTAATAATTATTTCGATATTTCATTTCCTCTTTAATTAATTATCTTAATTACTATTTGGCCCTCCAGCTTATAAGCTCATTAGTGATAAATCAAAACAATGAACCAAATTTGACAAATATGTAACACAATTTCTATTATTAAAATAAAGGCAAATGTAACTCACAAATTTCTTTAGTTACTACCTCATGAATAACAGTAGATTTATTAAGACATTTACTTTAAAATACAACTTAAAATTCAGATTAAATATGATTTATTACATTTAACAATTTTTGAGCCATGTCTGAACTCTTAGTTAATACATACACTTTTTTTCTAAATAATATAAACAGGACGTGATAAGCGATGAGCAATTTCTGCTGACTATATCCCTATTTCCAATTTTTCTAGATAATTAAACTAAGCCTTTGTCTGATTTTTGCACAGTTATGAAAAACCAAGAAAAACACTTTTAAATCCTAAGCATGAATATAAGTATA